AGGACCATTTTATTTATATTACTGAAATTGGTTGCTGTTGCCTGTTTTAGGTCCCAGAACCCTGCATATTTTGTGGTTTTTTTTTTAGCTGCTTGGAATACTGACCTTGTTTTTCACAGTGGCTCTCGCTTTTCATATGTAAGGATTTTTGATCTATTGTTGTTTTATGACTGGAGCAGAGGGAGCTGGTTTGTGTGGGAACCTTTAGTGATATTTGGATCAAACCTTGGGAAGTACTTTCTTTTCCATGGCACATTTAATTACTTTAAACATTTTATCCCATTCCACATTATCAGTTTAGCCTATTTATGTGCATGTATGCATCTCTCTATATTTATTTATTTGATAACTTTCTGTAGACCCATTCATTTTTTCTTTTAACACAATATTCTTCTACTTCTCTCCTTTTGTGAATTTTTTCCTGTGTACTTGAAATCTTGTTATTTTAATTAAATTTAACTTTTCCTTAAGAAATAATTTTATTTTGCTGGGCATCGTAGCACACACCTGTGATCCCAGGACTCAGGAGGTTGAGGCAGGAGAATTGCAAGTTCAGGGTCGGCTTGGGCTACTTAGGCAAATCAAAGGCAACCTAAACTACAAAATGAGACCCTGTCTCAAAAATCCAAAACAGCAAAATTTTTTCATTAATTTCTTCTTACATAAAATTTTACTTGTTCTCAGATCCGTTTAGCATTCTGTGTTTTCTAAGTTGTTTTCTCCCTATTTTTATATATAGTCGTTTAGCTTCTTTGGTTTGTAGACAGTCCCTGTTTCTCTTACACTGTGTTCATACTCTGTGTGTGCCTGTTCGGCCTTGCAGGTTTTCATCCTTCATGGGAAGCAGTAGCTGTCTATTGTATCTCTTGAAAAAAATCATTAAACAAGATTAATGTGTTAGTTACTTTTTGTTTAAAAGACACATACACATATATAGTAATTTTTCTAAAAATAAAATTTCAGGATATTTATCACTTAAAACTTTTAGCACAAATGATTCTTAATCTCCTTGTTTTTGGAAAATAAAGTTTTAATAAGTAGAAAAGTCAAAATGCTTTAGTTTGATTCTTCAGGGTCAGTATCATTATAATTGGACTTCTCACTGAAATAATGGAAGAACAGAATAAGATACTCTTAGTTTACCTATATATATATATATATATATAGTTATATATATCTAATAGGGAAGTGTTTAAGCAGCGGGCATCAAAAGCTCAGATCTTATGATAGTTTTCCTTTTTTTCTCTTTTTTTCCTTTTACTCCCCTTAGCTCTTCAGCTTATTTATTTTTATTTTTGAGGATTATTTTAGCAAATTTGTCTAATTGCCTATTTCCTCTCAGGTAAGGTAATTTCAGGGGACAAGCCACTTGGAATCTGGCAAAAGAAAAGGAAATGAGGAAACACAGTTCTTTGGAAGTGCAGATTTGCTTCCATGGCCTTTGGGCATAGGATTGATACAGGGAAAAAAGTGTAACTCCCAACCTGCTAGATGTCAGATACGCTGAGTTCGTGTTTCCCAAAGTGGAAGAATGAACTCTAAGAAACAGTAGAGGTTAAGAGCAGGAGAATTTATGGGGAATAGGAATAGCTCTGAGAGGCAGGAGGGGTCCCAAATGGGTTGCCAGTAAGCCCTCTTCTCTGAGGGAGTTTCACAGGGCAAAATCAAAAGGTAGATACAATGTAGGTCAAAACTCTTATGATCAGTCAGTAAGGTTACAAGTATAACAACCTGGCTAATAGTAATCTAATAGTAGCAAGGGCCTATGGATGACATCATTAGTCTCGGTCAATCTACAGTCTTGTAGTCTTTCGTCTTAGTCGCCTTGGTTTTAGTGGTGGGAAAGCATGGCCCACCTCTAATGAAACGATGGTTTCTTTGTATGGGAAATTTTGAAAAGGTGGTACCAGTGACCTCAAACTCCCATTTAGGGAGGCATGCAAATCTGGCCATTGTGACTTTAATCTTCAGATGTGATGTGTTCTCATCTTCTGTATGGACTCCCTTGAAGGCCTAGCCTTATCTGACTGCCTATAATATTTCTCCCAATTTAGCTGTCTATAATAGGATCAGTAGTTTTCAGAATCATTGTAGTGTAACGCTGTCAACATGTTAAAGGATCAAGAATAGTTTATAGTTTTACACAATATTCTTTATATTAAGAATGTCATATAAGTGCTCTTCTTAACTTTATCATGTGTACTCTTTACCTTATCCAGGAGTATATCATCAAATCCAGGTCTAGATTTTATTATACATTTATGTTCCAAGTAATTATTGGGGAAAGAAGTTTACATTGTGTTTTAGAGAAGAATAGAATGGTAAAATAGTTAAAATATAAAAATGTGTGGCTGTTAATAGAGTAATGTTATACTCTGGGTAACTTCAGAAAGTTATAGAAGGTCACATGTTGGTAGAATTTAAAGGGGATGTGGATCCCTGCTCCTCTGCACTATCCCAGGAAGTCAGAGATTCCCTAGGACAAGAAGAACAAGCTGGTAACTATTTCTCGAGGCTGCTAAACTGCTTTCGAAAAATCCAGAGTAGGAGAAATTTTAGATCAGGATCCCTGTCGTGTCCACAATAGCTACAGATACATCACTGGAAGAGTTGAGGTCTTAATTCTTAATTCTTGGTTCTTTTGTTGCAAGTCTTTTGTTTCTGTAAAGCTGAAAGAGGCTAGAAATTTTCAGTCTATATCTACCAAAAATGTCACTGAAGATTTAGTGTATCATCACATACTCAAGATACAGAGAATAAATTCCATTGGCTTAGTTCCATGGTTAAGCTATGTCTTTGCTCCTGATACTTGAGACCTGATCTGTCAGACAGAGAGCTGCTTTTATGTTAAGATCTCTAAGCCTAAAGAGGAAGTAAAAGGGTTATAACTTTAAGGCTTTTAACAAGCCAGTGGTGGGATGGTGGGATTACTCCCTGTGGCCTTTCCACTTGAGTGAAGTGGGATTGGCTCTGGACCTGTAGTTCACAAATGTGCATGTGCTTCTTCACTCATGTATTCAGTTGACATCACTTTTTCTGACTTTCTCTGAAAGCGGAAGCCATACAGTGTTGTGATTTTGGCCAGTGCCTCCTGATATTGACAACCAAATGGAGACTCCTCATATCCAGCTTGTCTCATTTCCTTTTACTTTTGATGAGGCATTTATTTTACATTCTTATCTTCAGTACTTTATCAAAATTATGCTACTTTCTGTTTAATTTGGACAAGTATCAGGGTGTAGTGGCTACCACTGTTCTTGTACAGGATACAGCTATCACTTCCTCCATCTGTAACTAACGTTTGACTGGTGTCCTGCTTGTCACATGTTAGTAATATACCTGTCCCCTCTGAAATGTACCTCTACTGTTCTCTAACCACCTGTGTTGAAAACACCAGCAAATGTTTCTTCCTTGTCAACTGTTAGTGCGACTCAGAACCCAGAGTTGTTTTGAGAATCATATAGGACTATAGGTTGAGTGTCCCTACAGTGTTTGAGATTTTCAAATTAGGGGTGTTCAAACCTGTGAAAACAGTTGGACATCATTTAATTTCCCTCTTGTGAAAAAGTTTGGGAGTTTTCCTATAGCCTTAATTAACTGTTACTGTTTTCTACTTACCTCAGTTTCCTAATTCATATAAGAATAATCTATACAAATAAGTCAAAATATAAACTGTGCAGAGTATCTGCATAAGGAAATAAAAAGAATCCGAATAAACTTGGAGAAATATGTTTTAAATACTCTTTCAATATGAAATTAATTTAGTTACGATTAAAGTTCTGAAAAAAAGTATAGCAGAAACAAAAACTGAGAAAATAAAACCCCAAGCCCCCATAATCCTGTCTTATCATAGAAATTATTATTTGCATTTTGGAATATTTCTTTTTTTTTAGTCTTTTTTCTTATATAAATAATTTTAACATGTAATTTTAACCAGTGTGTATGTGTGTGTGTATATATATATATTTCCATTTAATGCAGTTAAATTTTATTAATCATTTTAGTTGATGAATTCAAAATAGTATCAGTTGACACTTATTTGGTGTTTAGATTGAATGTTTAATAGCGCTGTGTGCGATATTCCTGTGTGAGGCAAATGTGTAGTGAGTTGTTCTCAGTCCTGAGAGTTTGCGGTATATTCAGTGGAGATACCCGGCAGAGAAGCAATATGGAATGATGATTAAGAGCCACATAGCTGCTTTTCCATTCATCAGCCATGTGCTTTGGGCAAGTGACTTAACTTTCTGTGCCTTGCTCTCTGGTCTTCAGGGAGAAGTGTGCTAACATGTACCACATGTAGTTTTGATGAAGATTATTGAGTCAGGCCTTGTGCTCTGAATTTCCTTTTATCCAGTGTTCACATTTGTTTAAAGTAATGCCTCGATATTAATGAAGGATAACATTAGATGATGAATGCTGCTGCTGCTGCTGCTGTCTGTGTGTGTGTGTGTGTGTGTGTGTGTGTGTGTAATGTGTAACAGTGGTAATGGTTGGCCTAAGGGATAGATGAATGGGTCACTGGATAGTTTGGGCTGCTTTGGTGTCTTAATGCTACTCAAATCATTGTAGTTTGAGTTCATGTGGTATAGAGACAAATGCAAGAGAAATCAGCATATCAGCATTTTCATTTTAGTTCTGGTTCTTTCATTGTCGCTAACAGTACAGTCACTTAGCTGTTTTAAATTTGTTCTCCTCTGCAGAGCTACCTGACCTTTCTTAGAGGTATCGTTATACTTAAATAAGATGTTTTGTGAAAGTCAGTTGAAGACTGCAAAACATTGTGTTTAGAAGTAAATTTTAGAAAGAAAAGGAGAGAATGCTTGCAGAGAGCTCGATATATTCAATATTAGACACAGTCTTCCATAAAGCACATAGTTGGCACTGTTTGTTATTATTGTGAAGACATCTACTTTTTTATGTGAATAAGTAGTGTTATTTCATGGCTTATGGATATATTGTTAATATCTGCTTGGATTTTTCTTTTTTCTTCTGTGTTTCAGACTCCTGGGAGAGTTGGCTCTCAAGGTTCTGATTTAGATTCATCTGCAACTCCTATAAACACAGTGGATATCAATAATGAAAGCTCTTCAGAGGTATGAAAACAATAAATTTGACAATAAAATTCACTACTATTTAAGGAAAATTAGCAAACATTTGTAGTAATGACTGGTGACTTAAACTTGTCTGTTTAAAAAGATTTCTCATAAGTCTGCATTACAAATTAGAATGTGATTTCTAAAGCATAATTGTTTGCGTATACCTGTATTTAGTTGTGAGATTGATAAAAACTGCATATTTTATTTTATTATTTTATTTTTTGAGTGTTTTTTGAGACAGGGTCTTATTCCTCTGTAGTTCAGGCTGACCTTAAACTCACAGTATAATCCAGGCTGGCCTCTAACTATCAATGATCCTCCTGTCTCAGCCTCCTGCCTCAGCCTCCCACGTACTGAGATTACAGGCTTGTGTCACCAAAACCACCTCATTTTTCTACTTTCTGAGACAATTATTTTATACATTCTGTGTCCTCAAGACTGCCATGTCTTTTACCCATTTCTTCCCCCAGACATTGAGAGAGTACAAACCATTGGACACATGTCCTTGTTAGATCATTAAAACCGTCCTTGTGTCTACTCTTTCTTATTTTAGTACAGGGAAGGTATCAGATTTGCCTATCAGATTTCAATACAAAAATAAGAAAATAATGTGAAAAATAAAATCTTGCTTTTGACCTGAAGTCCCTTCTGTAGGTACAATGTATTGTGTGCTTTGCTTCCAAGCTAAATTTTTCTCATACATGGTTTATAGTCCCTCGTTTGTGTCTTCTCAGATCTTTTATGTCTTTTTGGTGAATTGAACTTTTTGTCATTGTATCTAATAGTAATGTAATGACATTGCTTTTCATTTGATTAGTATTTTGTATACCTTTTTCTGCATTTTCATTATTAGTTTTTTTGTTCCTTTTGTTTGGATTTTTAATAAAATAAATAGCATATAACTCCCCCCTTCTCTCTTTTTGCCTTGGTTTAGGCTTCTTTTTCTCACTATATACTCTTGTGCTTAGGTGATTCTACATTCTTGTGCTTTCTTTCTGCCTCTTTAGTTGTTCATTCTCCCTCTTTGCTGGTCCTTTTGGTAATTAACCAGCAGGTGGTAGAGTATGTAGCTGGGATTGCTGATAGGTTCTTAGGCTAATTTGGAAGTTACGCATTTTATTCTTTTATTTTTGTGTTTTCTTCTGTTTTTTTTTTTTTTGAGATAGAGTCTTGCTATGTAGTTTAGGTTGGCCTTGAACTCACTATGTAGCAGAGGCTGGTTTCAAACTCATGGTAGTCCTCCTGCCTCAGCTTCCTGAGTGCTAGGATTACAGGCATGTGCCACCACGCGCTGTTTACTCTTGGTGTTTTAACATACATAAAACTAAAATATTTTTTAGGACCTTTGAACTAAAACATCTTTAAACTGAGAAAAATGTGTGGCTATCACTATTCTCAGTGGAAAAAGCCTCTTAAAAGAAACATCCAGCTCTGCACAATTCTATTTAATATTGTTCCTAAAATGAAGGTCACACAGTGTGCCTTGAGTCTCAAATGGCCTAACCCCAGTTTCCTTTCTGTACTCTGCTGTAACAGATAAGACCCCTTACACAACCTCATTTTCATGGACCAGACACAGTGGCTGTTTATCCATGAACAGCGGGTTATAGGTCCCTGCTAATCCAAAGAATTATTCAGATAACCTCGTCATGTCATTCTACTGAAACAGGGATCACTTACTCTCTTGATACTACAGAGCCTATCTTGCACCCCCTACCCCCTTCATGCGTTTTTGCTATTTTGAGACAGGGTCTCCATGTGTATTTCAGACTGGCCTGGAACTCACAGAGATCCTCTGCCTCAGCCTCTGGAGCTGGAGTTGCAGGCATGTGCCACCACATCTGACTGTCCTCCAATTTTTTTAGATTAAGGTCCAAACTCTTTAGCTTCTTCCAGCTAAAGAGTTCATGAATTATTTCTTTTGATCTGCTTTCTGCCTACCTTTACAGCTTTATTGATGGATTGATTTATTTGTTTATTGTGGTGCTAGAGATTGAACCCAAGGTATCTTGAATGTTAGGCAAGTACTGTACCACTGAGCTACATTTCCAGAGCATTACATCTTTCCATTTTCTCTGTTGTCCTTAGGCATACTGAATTTCATCAGCTTTTACAGTGTGCCACGTTTTCTCTTACCTCTGGGCTTTTGCATAAGCTCATCTTTATTCTTTACTTACTTGTCTTAGTTTGGACTGTTACAGACAGCAAATATTTATTTCTTAAAATTCTGGAGATAGGAAGTCTGAAATCAAGGCACCGGCAGTTTTGCTGTCCTAAGTTTTCACAGATAGAAAGATGATAGAGGGGCTGGGGATATAGCTCAGCGGCACAAGCGCCTGCCTGGCAAGCGCAAGGTCCTGAGTTTGATTCTCGGTACCAGAAAAAAAAAAAGATAATGGAACTCCTTTGAGTTTGTTTTATGGAGACTCTGATGCTATCCATGAGGGCTCTGCCCTCACGACCTGCTCATCTCCCCGAATGCTACACCTCTTAGTACCATTTCTTTGGGGGTTGAGGTTCGAGTGTGGGGCTTTGCGTGCGCGCATGTGTGCCTGTGCACTTGCTTGCACGCGTGTGTTGGGAGCACAAACATCCAGACCGTGGCATTGCTCTTGCTTTCACTATTTTTTCCTGGCTAACGTCTGATGTCCTTTAGGTCTTACTGCAGGTAGTACTTTTTCCAGTAAACATTCTTCCACTCAGATGTAGGGTAGATACTTTTTTCATGTGCTGGTGTGAAATTGTATTTTCTATCTTTTTGGTCATGACTGTTATTGTGAGATTCATTCATTTGCTGGATGCCAGATGCTAGTCTGGATGCTGGAGATACAGCATAAAATAAAATGGGTCCAAAAAACCAAATCTTTAACCTGATGGATCCTACATTCAAGGGGTGGAAATGGGCAAAAGCCAAAACACACTAAAAATGTTCCAGCGTTGACAGTTGGTGTTGTGAGAAAAATAAAGCAGGAAAAGAGGCGTGGAAAGCGCTTGGGGCGGCTCCAGTTCTGTGGTCATTGGTGAAGACTTCTGAGAAGCGGTTAGCTCAGGAAGAACTGAAGGAGGAGAGATGCGTCAGGTGGGTGTCCCGGGTGACTGATGTTGCAGGCCAGTGCAGTGAGTGGAAAGTCTCTGGGTGGGTGTGGTCTGCACGTCACAGCAGCCAGGAGGCAGCGTAGCTGCAGTGTGATGAGTGAGGGGAGACTGGCTTAGCGAGGAAATCAGGCCTGTGCAGGCGCTTGTGCCACTGAGCTGTATCCCGAGCCCCACTGGCTTTAGCTCGATGAGATGGCATGCCTGCGGGCAGTCTGAGTTGGGGAGTGACGAGATTTGTACCTGTATTTTGTTGGGTGCACACTGGGGGCCGTGTTGAGAATAGGTTGTTAGTGGGCTCAGGGTGGAAGCAGAGAGATAGGCGGCTCTTGCAGCGATCCCCGTACAGGTGAGGGTAGTTTGGATTAGAGTGGTAAGAGTAGGGGGCAGAGATTCTGGGTATATTTTGAGTGTCGATCTCATAGGATTTTCTGGTTAGTAGGGTATAAAATGTAATTTTTAAACATCGTGGTGACTTTTTCAAGAAGCCTAAAAGCTTCTGAGAGGGGATTGCCTCATTTCTGTTGTGTTCTCAGCACCATAGCCCTGCAGCTGGAGCAGAGTACTCACACTGTAAATACTTTTTGAAGGAGTGATTGCTTGGTTGGGTGTGGAAGCCTACAGTGGACAAAAGAGTGAAATGAAATATACCGTAAAGCTGTGGTGATGAAAAGAAAACGAACAAAATCTCTAAAGAAGCGTTATCAGAAGTTCAAACCCTCTAGATTGTGGTTTGTCTCATCAATAAAAAGAAATGAATTTATGTTCCTGACTTTTATTACCTAAATGATCTCTTTTAAGGATTATTAATTAAAAAGAATAATGATAACTAACATTTATTGAATGTTTTATTGTATAGGAACCATGATAAGCGCTTTATCTGTATTACCTTGTTTAATTGTCATAAGATCTGTATTGTTATGCCACCTGACAGATAAGGAAATTAAGGTCACAGCTGCCAGGAGCGGTGGGAATCTGATTCAAGCTCACCCAGCCCTTAGTTGCTACTGTCTTACCTCCCACCTGCGGCCTTGTTGGTAGTCTTCCTCTCCCTCCCTCCCATTATTCTGCGTGACTCCCGTGACTTGGGGAACAGCCTGGCCCAAAGGTGGTGACCCGGTGGCACGTGCTGCAGCAGGCACGCGCGCCAAGTCGCCCCAGCAGCCAAGCACTGGGTAACAGTTGTTTTTTCTAAACTAAAACTCAGTATTCTGGTTTAATTGCAGTGTTAGCACTTTGTGACACGCAGGTGGGTTTTGGGCTGCAGCTGGGGCCTCCGTCTCTAAAAGGCTTGCCATCACTGGTCTGTCTCTCAGTTCCTTCGGTTTCCTTTGCTAGTAATGATATTACCTCTTTTTAGCTGCAGTGTTCAATTCCTTGGCAGTATCTTCTCCTTTATCACCAGGCGGAACTGTCTCAACTGAAACAGGAAAACCCATCTCCCCATTCTTTGTCACAATTGTCTGTCCTTTCAGGATTTTCCTTGTCATAGTCTCTACTTAATTTCTTTGGTCTTGCTGAGTAATACAGCTCCTCCCTTTTTTTTTTTTTTTGGGTACCAGGACTCAAACTCATGACCTTGCACTTGCCAGGCAGGCACTAGTAATACAGCCTTTTAATTGCTATTTTTTCTTCTAGTTTCTAAAACTTTTTTTAAAATTTCATTTCCTTTAACCTCTAAGCATGAATCCCCTGACAATTAATATATATTGAGTACTTATAAAGTCTCAAACACAATATTAAGTATTCTGTATACACAGACCTCTAGAAGAGTAGATGCTAACATTGATCCCAGTTTAGAGATGTGGAAACTGACACTTAACAAAAGGATTTTTGGAAGGTCATACATGATTAGCTTTGCTGGAAGCCTAAATCAGCATCTGGTTATGACACCAAAATGCATG